GAAGAAGGTTTTCTAAGATTACAAGGGGATCTTGATCAAATGGGTCAATGGGCTGAAAAATGGCAAATGAAGTTCAATCTGGATGAACGTGAGGTATTGCATTTTGGTACAACAAACAAGGTTAGGACTTATCCAATTAATGGTAGGGCCTTGAGTACTGTTGTAGAACAGAGGAATCTAGGGTTCAGGTACGTAATTCTTTGAAGTTTGCATCACATATAGACAGGGTGGTTAAAAAGGTGTTTAGCACACTTGCCTTCCTTGCTCAGTCCTTTGTATGTAGGAGTTAGGAAGTCGTGTTGAGGTTGCATAGGACATTGGTGAAGATTGTTCTGGAATACTGTGTCCAGTTCTGGTCACCCAGTTAAAGTAAGGATACTATTTAACTGGAGAGGGCTCAAAAGAGATTTCCCAGGATGTTAACCAAAAGAACTGTGGATGCTGTAAATCAGGAACAAAAACAAAGTTGCTGGAAAAGCTCAGCAGGTCTGGCAGCATCTGTGAAAGAGAAAACAGAGTTAACGTTTCGGGTCCAGTGAGGAAGGGTCATTGGACCCGAAACGTTAACTCTGTTTTCTCCTTCACAGATGCTGCCAGATCTGCTGAGCTTTTCCAGCAAACTTTGTTTTTGTTTCCCAGGATGTTGCTGGGTATGGAAAGTCTGAGTTATAAAGAAAGGCTGAATAGGCTGGGACTTTTTTCATTAGAGCTTAGGAGGTTGAGAGGTGACCTTATGAAGTTTATAAAATCATTTGGGGTACAGATAAGGGTTATTGGTTGGTGTCTTTTCCCTAGGATGGGAGATTTCAAGACTAGGGGGCACATTTTTAAAGTTAAAGGAGAGAGAAAAAGCATGAAGGACAAATTTTTTACACAGAGGGTAATTCGCATGTGGAATGAACTTCCTAAGGAAGTGGTGGATGTGGGCACAATTACAATGCTTAAAGGACATTTGGGTAAGTACATGAATAGGAAAAGTTTGGAGGGATATGGGCCAGGAGCACGCAGGTAGGATTAACTTAGTTTGGGATGATGTTCTGCATGGACTGGTTAGACTGAAAGGTCAGTTTCTGTGTTGTATGAATCTATGATTCTATATTTCCAGTAAGAAATGAAACTAATGGCATTAATTAAGGTTTATACAATCTTCAATGCTTTTATTTGGGATGCAGTTAATGATTATACTGGATACAAAAGGGCACCTTACTGAGACAATTCAGAGATATCAGAAAAACAAAAGATTTATTTTATTTTATAACAGTCACTTTACTCCCTTCTGAACTCAAATTTGACTTTAACAATTTCAGATCATGACCATTGCTCCCATTTGTTCAGACTGCAGGAGCTGGTACCAGTTCTGTTATTGTCAATTACAGCTGTTTGATCTACGTTTGTTTCCCTACTTATCCTATTATCACCCACTTCTACCTTGCACCATTATCTCTTTCGTCATTCAGTCGCTTCTCCCACCCATTCACAGAGCTCCCCTTTTATTCTTTCCTCTCCTTATTGACCCCCTCCCTCTGTACTCATTTTATGACCAGATACACTTCTAACTTTGTCAGCACCTAAGAGGCCATCCACCCGAAATATAACTCTGTTTCTCTTTTAACAAATGCTGCCTGTCCATATTCTTATTGAGAATCTGAGTGCATTCGGCACTTTCTGTATTTGTTGGTCGGATATGTTCCTTTCGTCCCTTTGTGATTATGTTTATTTTAGAAAACCTTTTCCTCTTTATGATTCACCAGCTATACATTTGCACCATTCATATTTTTGCTCTACATCTATAGTGCTGATAGCTGTCCATGCACATTCATTAGCATTTTAACTCACTTATCTGAAATGTCCACAAGCATTACTGGCATAATTTTAAAAATTATAGCAATGTAAACTTGATTGTATTTGACACATTACAAATTTAAACATGATTTAGAATCAAAGGATCTTACAGTACAGAAGGAAACCTTTTGGCTAATTGCACCTGTACCAGATACAATCATAGAACTGTACAGCATGGAAAAAGACCCTTCAGTCCAACTTGTCCGTGCTGACCAGATATTTTAAATTAATCTAGTCCCTTTTGCCAGCATTTGGCCCATATCACTCTAAACCCTTCCCATTCATATACCCATCCAAATTCCTTTTAAATGTTGTAATTGTACCAGTCTCCACCACCTCCTCTAGCTTTCTAATTTAGTCCCATGTCATAGCTTTTCCTCCATGACTCTGCAAATTGGTTTTCTTCAAGCATATGTCCAGTTGTCTTTTAAAAGTTCCCACAGAATCTGATTTCACCGTCTATTCAGGTAGTGCTTACCAGATCAGTAGCAACCATTTGTGCAAGTAATGTTTCGTATTTCACTGTAATTCTTTTGTAAATTATTTTAAATCTGTAACCTCCCGTTTGTGATCCCATTTGCAAGAAGAAATTGTTTCTATCTACTTCCTTAATCAAGATCCTTAATACAATTATTAGAACAATCCCTGCACATGACCGAATGCCTCCTCATCACAGTTATCATCCTCCAACCACTCATCAGGACTGATGGTCCTGACATTTTTTGTATGTAAACTTTGTATTTCAACCAGTAAAAATAGACATTCCAGTCAAGATAGAAGAAAGAAACATGACATTAGCAACTGAGCTTCTTTGGGTTACTAGCAAGGGTCTCTATTACTACATAATCTCCAATTTTTAATAGAAATAAACTGGTGCAGGATGAATTTCTGAAGAGAAATGTGTGTAGGTTCAGTCACTAAATGATCAGTAGCACACTCAAAACTGACAAAATGAAACTGCGGTATTGTTGGAGCTTCATGTAACTTGATCTAATTGCACCTTGTAAGATCGATATATGAGCTTATCATAAATCCAACCATGCATTTTCAATTTTGGGTGTCGACAGTACAGGCATTCCAAAAAATATTGGATCCATTCCACGTTGAGCACATCAGTCATTATGATTTCTAAAACTAGTTCACTGAATCTGAATTAAATCTTTCCATTTTATCAGGATGCAATTATCTTCAATATTGGTACATTTATCATGCTGTATAGCAACTCACTGAGCAGTAAGAGCCCGATTTCTGGTTCCTGAAAGTAGAATAAACAGTTTCCAAAGCTAAACCGATTTAAACGAAATTATAAGACATTCCATAACACAATAAAAGGTAATATGTTTACAGGTATCATTAAATGCACTTCAATAGTCAAACAGGATATCACGTCGCGCAGACGCAATGGTTTTATTTTCTTCCTCAGCTTCCATTATGTTATTCTCCCAGATTGTGCATTACAATCCCTGGGTATCTGAATCCTAATCATGTGAAAAAAAAATGCATAACTGCAATGTCAGTTCAATTTCCCATAAATGCTGCATTAAGATATAATCACACTAAAGCCTCTCTAAACCTAGGTATTGAGAAGTTTAAAGTATATATTTACTCTGACTTTTATTAGTTAACTGATATCATGTTTAGATTTGTAATCATTTATCAAATACAGTCAGGTTTACATTACTATAATTGTTATTATGCCAGTAGTTTTAGATGAGTGGGTTAAAGATAGTAATGAATGAGCAGGGCAGTGCTAGCAACACTATAGCCATTAAGCAAAAACACGAATGCTGCAAATGCACAGATAGTGAATCAGAAAGAGATAAAAATGTTTTCTCTTATAAATAAAATCACGAGTGGATCTGTGTTGGAAATACTCAGCACATTCAGTTGTAACCTTTTGTCAAAAGATTCCAGTATTTTCGGTTTATTTTTCAGATTTTCAGCATCTGTACTATTTTGTTATTTTGCAATCTCCCAACCAAACTTTGATTGACCTGTGTAAGTGTCTTGCTCCTGCTCTAGTTCTGAAACATTTTTGTTACCATCTTCACCCTGGTTATGGCTCCAAAAGGGAAGGCTTCAGCTGGTGGGTGACCTTTCATCACGACTTCACAGTAATCGTGCCTTTTCATTTGATTCCTTTCTATTTTGATTGCAAATAGAGTATAGCAAGGCATTTTCACGTTGATTCACATTGAAATGCATGAATAGTATTACAGCAATTCTATTTTGTGGACCAGAAATATTGCTGCATAAATAAAGTGGAACTGAGACCACAACCAGATCAGCCATGATCTTGGAATGATACAGCAGCCTGGAAGGACCAATGGCTCCTAAATCCTATGTTAATTCTCAAGGCATAATAAGTTTGAAATTCATTTATAATAACAGATTCCAGCACGAAGAAAATATCTGTTACGGGGGATAATAAGAGCTGTAAGGTTTTAGAGTAGATTTGTAGCTTGGGTTGTGGATATTGTGGTTGGCTCACCACAGTAAGAGCTGTAATAAACTTGGTAACTTCTTTTAAAACTGCAGATGTTTGTAAACTGGTATTAAAGAATCATTGAGTTTCACGGAGCTGTACATCCAATAAACTGAAGCATAATACAAGAATATGCAGGTTAGGTGCATTGGCTATACTAAATTGCCCATAGTGTCCAGGTATGTATAGGTTAGGTGGATTAGCCATGGGAATTGCAAGAATAGATTAGGTGAAATGCTCTTCAGAGAGTTGGTGTGGACTAGTTGGGCCGAATGGCTTGTCTCCACACCGGAGAAATTCTATAGCTTCTTTATGGGGAGCCTCAGAAAACATGACGTCACTGGATCCATGACGTTAGCTCTGCTTTCTCTCCACAGATGATGCCAGTCCTGCTGAGCTTTCCCAACAATTTCTGTTTTTGTTTCTGACTTTCAGCATCCTAGGTGCTTTGATTTTTTTGCAAAAGTGTTCAAGACACTGCTGTTGACAGGTTTCTACGATTTTGTGGTAATAGAAAGGAGTTACCAAGTCCCTGATTTGAATCCCGTGGTCTGTGCAGTGCCTGCTCGTGACATCATGGGGGCGTGGCGGTTCCTAGGAGACCAGAACGTTACATTGTCCCAGATTGTTTACTCTGGGCTTAGTCTCGGCGCTGGCCTTGGCTCCACTAACCCATTGGCTCCTTAAGAACTGCTGACCAAGCTGTACTCTTTCGCTTGTGACGCTGCACGCTGAGCTCGGCGGCTCCTGCCACTGCGAGCCAAGCTAACTGCGGCTCCCTGCGCGGAGTGGAAGGGAGGCAGCTCGCCGTCGTAACCCTGCGCTCGTGGTCCTTGTTTGCCTTCCTAAGAAGCCAGTTCACTCTACACAATGGGAACATCCCGATCCAAATCAGGTACCGAAGGTAACGGGAAAGGCAATCCCTGTTTTAATTTGATGTGCCGTAAGCACCTTCCGCTTTGAGTTATGAACCAAAGTCGTGGCTCGAAGGCTACTGAAGTTTACATAATGCTATGCCTTCTTCTGATGAAACTTCATTCAGTTTTTAGCGTTGTGTCCTGTTTCGAGATGAGCTGGGCTGATTATCATAAATACCTATGTATTTATACCAAAGTAATTGAATTAACATCTTTCAATTATCTAATAAAAATGAGTTCTAAAATATTTTAATTGTTAATTATTTGTTATTTCAAATTACTGTGCTCCATTATACAATTGAAACGTGACGTACATGCACTTCGCTGATGAATTGCAATGTATCGTAATCTGGGAATAACATTTATATTAAAAGCATTTTTGGTAATTTTATTTCGAACATATTAGCTTCACATTAAATCAGACGTGTTTTTAGATTGTAGACTGCTTCCCCAGAATTTCCTAGCAGACTTAGGAGTTACAGTTCTGATCGCCAGTCTATTATTTAATCAACGAATTGTGAGTGGGTTTGGGGTTTACTAATGAAGGAGGTATTTTAGTGTACAAAATTGCTGTTATGTGAGGTGATACAAATAGAACATGCATTCGATTCAATATAAGTTGTTTATCAGACGCTAAGTAAGCAGTTTTAAATCTAATTAAAGTTAGATATTAATGTCTCCATGAATATATGAAATGTTATACTGTAATTTTCTTCTCTCTTTGCTACTAACGGATCTGCTGATACATTGCACATGGGCGGTCGAGAATTCGGTCAGGTAGATCAGAAAGCCACGGGAGCGGTGGAAGCGGGGGAGGATCAGTGCATGGGGGAAAAGGAAAAGGTTGCAGTGCAAGAGAAAGAAGTTGAGGAAGAGGAACAACTGAATTTATTAGAAGATTCATGACATTTCTTTAGAGGTTTGGGTGGAGCGGAAGGTAATGTCATTGCTCCACTTCTGTTTCCTTGTTAGGATGGGGGAGAAGGGGGATTGAAAACCTGTAGTGTGGTAGGATACTGATGCATTGTATTTTTTTTTTGCTGATCACTAATAGGTATGTACATAAACTTTAACTGACTTTGTTCAACTATACCTCTTTCTGTAGTTTACACACTTGTGTTTGTGAGAAAAATTTCCAATTATTTGTGAGCTAGCCTCCACTGACTTTAAAGCCAGGGTGAGATTCAAAATTAATAGCTGTGACAAGACATCTAAATCCTAATATTGGTGGAAAGCAAAATTGTATTGAGAAATTATTTGTATTGCAACATATGTCTTTCAAGCGAACCACCTATACCAAACAAAACACTTCCTTTATTTGATTAATTCTATTATCATACAAAGCTGTAAGTAAGCAATAACTGAAGCAGTTTATATATAGCAACTTGTACATTTTTTTATATTTGGAAAGAAGACATAGTACTAAAGATCCACAGGTAAGTTTTACAACATCTAGTTTATAATAGTAACTCGTGGCAAGATACAAAGTGTAAATTCTTACCGAATTGTTTCCTTTTTTGAGCTAAAATCATTTTCAGACTGAATAATGCACTGAAGTTAGATTCTCACCTGTCATTTTCTTTTAGTGAGCAAATTTTAATAAGTGGCTATGTTCCATAGGTTTAGCTTCCATACAAAGATTATTAATATTGACTTGTGAACAAATGACATTTTGAAAAGTAACTTGAAAGTCATTCCCTCCCTGTTCACTATATTCTACTCAACCAGATGTCATCCACAAGAACAGTAAAAGTTGAGACCGTGTTTAGAAAACCATTTTGGTGCTTATTTGGTAGTTGAGAAGGTTTCATTTGGGGGAAGTCTACCAGGGAATTTTCTGATTGACATTTGTTGGAAACTGTAGAGAGTGGAGGAATAGGAGCAGAAATGGGCCATTTGGCTCTTTGAGTATATTCTGCCATTCAATGAGATTGAGTGATTTTCTGCTTCAACACCATTTCCTGCACTATTCTGTATCCCTTCAAAGTTTTTAACATTTTAGAAATCAATCAATCTTCGTCTTGAACATGATCAATGACTGAACATTCATAGTCCTTTGGGGAAGAGAATTCCAAAGATTCACCAACCCTTGAGTGAAGAAATCCCTTTTCATCTCATGGCTAAGTAGCCTGATCCTTGTCCTGAGACTGAGCCCTGATTCTCTATCCTTATTACAGAGATTACAGAGAATCATCCTTCCTGCATCTATATTGTCAAATCCTGCAGGAATTTTGTATGTTTGACTACACAATCTCTCATTCCTGTAAAATCCAGAGTGTAAAGTCTATGTCTATTTAATCTTTCCTCGGAGGACAATCCTTCCAACCTTTGTTGTATTTATTCTATCTTTCCATCGGCAAGGTTTTCAAAACTGTACATAATGCTCCAAGTGTGGTCTCACCAAGACTCTTTTGTAGTTGCAGTAAGACACCTTTCTTCCTATACTCCATTCCTAATGTGATAAAGGTCAACTGGCATGTTGGTAGTATGTGGAGCATTTCCACTGTGCTGCTTTTGTTGCTTTATGGAAATGGGGGATTTTCAAGTTTGCTATTTCATAGCAATCTTCCAATTCAACTTCACCATTGATCGTCTTTGGCCTGCAGAATCTGAGTTGCATTTCTTTTGGATGTTAATGATGCTTGGCTTCCTATGCTGCTTAACAATGACCTGGCAGTTTTTATAAAGGGAAAGCTTTATAATTGATTAAGTAAACATTGTTACTGAGATAGTCATCTCCAGCTGGAGATGACTATGTCTACACTTCCTACGAACCTCTAAAAGGAGGGGGTCTCAAATAATTTTTGTCCATCTCTTATTCAATGCAGTTGATCTTCCTGGACTTCATGGATCTGAAGCTCAGGGGAATGAATTGTATGGGGGAAAACATCGGCGTAAGAGTAGTTTGAAAGAGGAGTCTGAGGCTGTATTTGAAAAAGAAGTTTGTTTGGCTTCTGAGATGCAAGATAATGAGTAAGTACTTGTATTTTATAACAGCCTTCAAAACCTTAATACTTTTCTATTTAAGGACTGGTTTACGGTATTTGATTTGGCAGTTGAAAGTTTGTTGCCGAAATGCTCTCTTTGACTCCCCCACTACCCTAAGTAAAATGTATTGGCTGTTAAAGACACAATTGAAGTAGGAAGTGTGTACGTAGCACGTACACTAATTTATGTTTATCCCAATATAACAAATCTGTGCACCAGCCCTCATTTTAATACGTACTGAGCGGATAAATCTTAGTTCCAAACGCTTTCAAAATAAAGACATAATAGACCAGAATGCTGCCTGTCATTGCTTGCTTGCTTGCTTTCTTGCTTATGCCAGACTGGAAATAAAATGTGTTAATTATTTATTTTCTGTTTTATATTGCCTTTACCCATTTGTTGTTGGAGTCATTTGAGCTCTGTTTCTGGGATTTGAGTGGTATTTGTGAGTGATCTTGTTATTCCATGTTATCTTTCAAATCTATTGGTGTAGTGTCCAAAGTTTGTAACTTCCAACGTATTGGTGTGTGTGTGTGTGTGTGATGTGCTTCCACTTTTAATACTGTTTGGATCTCTGTTTGGATAATTTGTGTTCTGTTACGAATTGGGGATATCCCTCTGTACTCGTGAGTGACTTGTGTGTGACTGTCATGTTGCTTCAAAATTCCTTTATTTATATAATTATGTATTTTACACCTTTAGTAAGATCGTCTCTCTCTTGTATGGACTACTTGTGTTTCTTTTATCAGATTCTTGCACTTGATTCATGATATTATTGCTATATCCTGATACTCGTCATTATCTCGTTAGTATAACCATTAAACTATGACACTCTATGTTTCATTGTTCGTGGTTCGATCCCAGTTCACCAACGCTTAGCTAGGGAGGATGGCCAAAGAAAGTTAATAGGTGGAAATAGCTTTGCTTGTCCCTCATCACAATGGCTGGATGATTGTGGCTAAGATTTCAAATCTTGTGTTGATGTATATTTCCTGTTAAAATGACTTTGGATATGCATTTATACCAAAGTTTAATTTTGTTCATTTAAACTTTTATAACTGAAATCCTGAATGTAAACAGTTGACCATAATAAAGCAGTTACAACCCATGACTTTTAGATGGTCTAATGAAATTTCTGAAATTTGTCTCCTAATTCCACCATCATATTTGGTGCTGTATAAGCAACAGAATGGTTATCAGCTGTCAGTGTGAAATGCTGCAGCTTACTAGAAAGACAAATAATCATTGTGTGCACTAGTGACGTATGGACATTGGACAATGAGACATCTATCCTTTAATCTCTGAGAAATCTAACCATAGCTAGTATTGTACTATGTACATGAACACATCAAATCTCTAGAGTGAGAGCTGTGCTTTAATTCAGAGTGAATCATTCAGAAAGATGCTTTTTAAAAACTCTTTGATCAAGAGTGATCTATATTTGTTGTTTTGCATTTTACTTAGTTTATGTTGACTGGTTAACAACCTCGTAAAATTGTAGGACACTGTGCAATTGTCTGGCATTCTTATTCTATGCATTGAGAAGTTTTTAGATAATTGCACATGATCATTTAATTTTCCTACAGTACCTATCTTGTAATGGGAAATATAATGTTTAAAAGCTATCATCTAAGTTCTCTGTGAAAAGTAAGTGTGCATTGTATTTGAAACTGAATCTTCCAGTCAATTAATTTAAGCCCTCATTTCTTTTATATCCTTTCATGTTAATATTGAACTGGTTTTACTGTTGCTTAAAATTCCTCTAGTGATATTTAATATTATTTCCTGTGAATAAATCAGTTTTAACATTTTTCTGTGCCACACAGGATGCGTGAAGTTGAAATCAACAACCATAAGCTGCTACTTATCAAAACTAATGGAGAATTTAGTGCCATAGGACATTTGTGCACTCATTATGGAAGTCAGCTGGTCAATGGTAAAAGTATTGTATTCCATACTCATTGTTCGTTATGCTACAAATTATTTGTTTGTTAATGAGCTACTTACAAGGCCAGTAATTTTAACATGCATTACATTGATCATGGGTATTGTGAATTGTCAGTGATCTAGCACGTGGTCTCATCAACTGCCAGAAGGAAATGTTGTGCTCTACTTTCCCAAATGTGATGAATTTCTGATCCGTGTGCTGATCGATTTTTGTCACACTTCACGTAGACTGCCCAAAGTAAGCACTTAACCAACGTACCAAAGTTTCACGTGGGTCAGTCACCAAGTTTCTAAATTATACTCAGTGAAAACAAAATTCTGCATCATCATATCACAGCTCAAAATACTTCATGTACTTAGGAAAAGCAGTGGCTAAATACAGACAACTACAGCAACTATTTTAGAAACCACAAGGTCCCTCCAAGAGCAATAAAAGGAATAAATAGTAAACTTGCTTACAATGGTATGGTTGAGGGAGAAATATTGGCCCTCACACACCTCTCGGAACATTAAAACCCTTGTGGTGCATCAAATAGGCAGTTAGAACCTGGATATACTGCTTCATCTTGGGGACTTCACATCTGAAAAATCAGCACTCTGTCACTACTGCATAGACATGTCTGCTTGTGCTCCAATTAATTAATTGATTATCAACCTTGTGACTGAGATACAAGAATTTTACCAATTGAGTCCTGTTTTACTTGTGGAAATGCATGTCTGTTCTTTTCACTTCTGACAGCTGTTCTCGGTTATTCCTCGTTTTCCTGCATCTTTAGGAGTTCTCTCACGTGGAAGGGTTCGTTGTCCAAGGCATGGTGCTTGTTTTAATGTAAAAACAGGTGATATCGAAGAGTTCCCCTGCTTGGATGGACTACAAAGCTATAAGGTATAATTTGGATTGCTCTATTGATTTCAATAAGTTGTACTGAAACTACTTGTATTTATTGAACAGTTTAATGTAATAAAAATCTGCAGCTAACATCCAAAGAAATGAATTTTAAAGTAATCTATTTATTTCTTCATGATTGCATTTCATGACATAAATGAAGAATCCATCTGAGTAGTGTAGGGATGGGAGCAAAGAGGTGATAAATGGTGAATTAGCTCAGTGATCGATAGTAACAGCTCTACATGGCAGTAGACCATAAGACCATGAGGCACAGGAGCAGAAGTAGATCATTGAACCTGTTCTGCCGTTCAATAAGATAGTGGCAGATCTGATAACCTTCAACTTTCCTGGCTTTTCCTCATAACCCTTGTTTCCCTTACTGGTTAAAATCCGGCTATCTCAGCCTCAAATATACTTCGTGGTCCAGCCTCATTGGCCCCCTCTGGTAAGGAATTCCACAGATTCACAATCCTCTAAGAGAAGAAAGTCATTCTTCTCTCTCCTTCTTTAATGTGTGACCCCCTTGTTCCAAGATTATACCCTCTTGTCCTAGACATTCCTATAAAGGGAAACAACCTTTCCACACCTACCCTGTCAAATCCCCTAAAAATCTAGTATAAAGTGACCTCTCATCCTTCTATATTCCAATGAGTACAGACCCAATCTACTCAACCTGTCCTCAAGACAGTCCAACCACCACCTCCGCCAACAATACCTGTGAGTCTTTTCCAATTGCATCCAATGCCAGTTTCCTTTTCTTAAATAAGGGTCCCAACATTATTGACAGTACTCCAGCTGTGGTCTGACTAGTGCCTTGTTTATTTTTAACACAACCTTCCTACTTTTAGACTCAATTCCCTTTGAAATAAAGGTCAATATTCCATTTGACTTTCCTAGCAACCGCTGAACTTGGATGCTAGCTTTTTGTGATACGTGGACGAGGACGCCTAAATCTCTGTTCCTGTAGCTTTCTGCATCTTCCTCCATTTAAATAATACTCAGCTCCTCTATTCTTCCTGTGTAACCTTACATTTCTCCACATTGTGATCTATCTGCAGACTCTACGTCTTCCGCATCACTTAACTTCCTGCTTACTTTTGTGTCCTCCACAGACTTTTCTACAGTAAATTCATTTTCCTCATTCAAGACGTTTATATATAATTGTAAATAATGGTGGTACCATATCAAACACCTTCCAAAAATCCAAATATTATAATATCTGCTTCTAACCCGTTATCTATCCTGCTTGTTATCTCCCTCAAATAAATATTTGAGATTCTCTTGTTTATCATTATAATAGCACAATTTAATAAATTTGTAAGAAATGGAAACTTTTGCCAAGCCAGATCATTGGACACATTCAGGGGAAACTTTAGATTAACACTAAAATGTCCACTGGTTTTAGTGTGCAAGACAAGCTAACTTTGGATCTCTAGTGGAGAAATACTAACATGGCAAACTTAGTTAGCTGGAGAGTTCAAAATGAGATATATTTTCATAATGACGAATTTTTTTTTTACAAAATAAATTTACAATCAATCATATGATATATCAATCATATCCCAATCTAGATCTAACTTGGTTTCAGATAGATAAACAATAGGTAAATATTTGGTTCTGTCATGCCAGTCACAAAATCAATGACTTGTAAAATGTTAATAATTTTTATAATAAATTTTGAACTGAGGCAGGCCACAAGTCAAATATATATTTTCTTTATTCATTAATGGGATGTGGGCATCACTGGCCAGGCAGCATTTATTGCCCATCCCTAATCCCCAGAGGGCAGTTCAGAGTCAAGCATATTGTTGTGAGTCTGGAGTCAAATGTAGGCTGGCCCAGGTGAGGATGGCAGTTTCCTTCCCTAAAGGATATTTGTAAGCCAGATGGGTTTAATATTTAGCATATTATTCCATGGCAGAGTCTTCTCATGGTGTCATAGAGTTATACAGCACAGACACAGACCCTTCACTCCAACTCGTCCACGCTGACCAGATATTCTAAACTGACCTAGTCCCTTTTTGCCAGCATTGGCCCATATCCCTTCCTTTTCATATACCCATCCAGATGCCCTTAAATGTTGTAATTGTACCCACCTCCTCTGGCAAATCATTCCCTACGTGCACCATCCTCTGCATGAAAAAGTTTGCCCTCTAGTTTTGGACTCCCCCACCCTGGGAAAAAGACCTTGGCTATGCATCCTATCCATGCCACTCATTATTTATGAACTTCTACAAGAACACCCCTCAGCCTCTGACATTCCAGGGAAAATAGCTCCAGCCTATTCAGCCTCTCCCTACAGCTCAAACCCTCCAATCCAGGCAACACCTTGTAAACCTTTTCTGAACCCTTTCAAGTTTAGCAATATTTTTCCTATAGCAGAGAGACCAGAATTGAGTGCAGAATTCTAAAAGTGGCCTAACCAATGTCCTGTACAGCCGTTCACAAGTATTTGAGTGGATTGCTGCAAAGTCTACTGTTTACTCCTAAATCGGCTATTAGTTACAGAACTGTTACCATGAATGGAAACGTTCTTGAATCAAACAGTGATGTTCAATCCTAATGAAATAGATTACAGCATGCATATCAGGAAGACATTTCAGTGTTTCCATTCTTTTATTAAGACAATGGGCTGAATCTTACCAGAAATCAACTATCATTTTTGCCGAGTTTCATGGAGGGTTTCTCTTCAAGTTCTAACAGGTTTGCTCACACTGTCTTCCCAATCTTGCCTCATTATCGAGGCACCATGCCCCCAAAGTGCCGTGCTTGTTGTACTCTTGCACTTGTTTTGTAGGAAGTATTAATCACTGCCAGGAGATACAAAAGTATTTCCGGTAGGATGGTAGTGGAGCAGCACTTCTGAGCCTGGGGCTTGTCTGCTGTGTCCACTTTTCAGTTCTTTTTTCTCCTCTGTTCTTTCTTTCTGGTTTTTTTTCTGTTATTTTACTTGCCTCTTGTTGAAGGGCTCTGTGTTATGGTGGCAGCATTAGCAGCAGCAAATGGGGCCCAGTGCGTATTTTAGTAGGCCCAGAAGCGCGGACTTGTGGCGTTGGAGGCAAGTTTGGGTTCCCAGCCAGCTTCTGCTTCAACAAGGCAGTCCTAGCACTGACTCATGGCAGCTGTGTGCAGGCGAGTTTGGGTTTCTGGTAACATCTGTATCCAGTGCAGATTAATGGAGGCGGCATCAGCAGTGGCTGCATCGGTAAGGTGGGCCTGAACTGGACTCATGGCGACAGCGGAATTAAATTTTTGCCTTCAGTGGCATCTGCATTGGCAAGGTCCAGCAGGGACATGTAGTGGTGAGGGCGATGGTGGAAGTGAGGTGGTAAAGATTGGCAACTTGCGTTTCAGCAGTGGCAGTGCCACTAGGTCCATGGCCCATAGCGGAGCACTTAACAAGAACAGTAGAGTTGAAAACTCTCTTTTTTTTTTATTTCTTCATTCTTCTGCCTTTTATATTCTATGTTTTGGTTTATTTTTCTGTGTTTTAAGATGACACCAGAGAGTGATGACACTATATGACACTTTTCACTGTATTTTGTAACAAAATACATGTGAAAATAAATAAATCAAATAAATCCTAGGATCCCTGGTGCAAGTGCCATTGCATACCTATTCATATGCAGAAAGTCTGGAGGTGCCCTGCACAATTTGCCACTTGCTGTGGAGACAGCAGACCAGGGGAAATTGGCACTCTGCTTTGTGAACAGGGTCTTAAAGGTTCTGGTGGATGGGTTGGTGTGGGGGAGGTCCATCCCCTTCCGTCAGCAGAGGAGGCAACAATATCTAATCCTGCCAGCCTGGTCAGAGGTTGCCACTGATGTCAGTGCAAGCTCGATAATCTGGGGACTGCCCCCGTCCCCCCCAATACTGGAGGAACCCCCTCCGTGACCTTCTCTGCTCAGTGTAGGTAAGTGCCACTATCTTTTCTCTGCTACCTCTCGAATCATTCTATCGCTGCTGCTGCACCCACCTCTTTCCAAGATTCACCGTCTAATAGACTTGGCGTTGCAGTCAACATTTTCTCTCTCTCTCTTGCTCTCACCACCCCAACTCTCCTGTCATAGCTAGCCCTGTGCGCCTTCTGCACTGCCTACTTACTCACTCTAGACAACTTGCCACCTTTCACTCACCTGCACCAGAATTGACAACTGTTGCAGCCACTTTCATGCAATTTGTCCCATCTCCGGAGATAAGTGCACATGTGGGCACAGAGAGCCAGGATGGGTGGGAGGGCACCTGGCATTCAGCTCCTGAGGATTCAATGGTGCTGGCCATTGAGGACTGAGATTGTTCATGTGGTGAGGCCAAAATGTCCATGTCCCAGCAACCAAGTAACAAGCATTGCCCACTGCTGTGCTACTCCTTCATTCTTGCCACTGCGAATGTATTCTTTACATGGCAGAACCTCTACCGCTTGTTCACAATGCTTTCTCTCTTTTTGTCTTCTGTCGGTATGCAGTGGTATCAGGAAGAAGGCACAGATCCCTCGGAGGATGCATCAGCAAGACTGCCTCCTGCACCCTCCACCGTCGCAGATACTGCCACCTTGCTGGATACTTTATACTAGATTAGAGTCGGGCGCGCTTATTGGTGAGCACTTTGCTGCCACCTCTTAGCAGCTGGATGAGCAAGAAATGTCTCTGGCACTCGGAGGCCTGCTGGATACCAGGCACTTGCTTGAACAGCAGAAGCCCCCATGGTGTTGGCCATCAATAACTTCATCTAAATGCACAAGGAGACACCAGCAGCAAGCAGCTTTATCAATAGCACTAGGAAAGCTGACACTGTTTTGTATGGCTGCAACAATGCTGTTGGCACAGTACTGCCTCTGGCATGTGGCTGTCCAGCTGCCTTAATGGACAGGTTGGCAGCTGCCATGAGAAACTAAGTACATGAACCTCAGTGTCTCCTGGATATTTGCTCCAGCCATTGGTGCTCAGAGCCAACAGGTGGCAACAGGGAGATGAGAGAGCTTGACCTCACCCCAGGTACCCCTTCCTCAGAAGGAGACAGTAGATACCCAGATGGAGGAGAGACAACATATGGACTTCCGCAGAAGTCTCATGTCGGGATGCTTCAGGGGTGAGTGGGTCTTCTACCCTGCTACCCTTGCCTGCTACCCCTAGCCCTGTGGAAAGTCAAGCCAAAGTGATCAAATCTGGGTAGGTCACATTGAGCATGTCTGGTCTGTCTAGCCCAACCTGACTAACTCTTCTCTCCACTTTACAATCTGAGTCCCAGGCATATCAAGTCGAGGTGCCAGACATATCTTCCCACCTCCCCTATCGAAGTCAGGCTGTTGCTGACTCTTGATGACCTCCCCTCCTGCATTGCCCTTTCCCTTCCATGCTCTATTGTCCTCCAGCAACACCTCCATTTATGTCGAGTTGCACCCTTCACGATAGTTAGCTCTTCTGCAGCTCCGTATGTTGCCTCCAGTCCCCACATCGGAGTTCCTCAGCTTCCCTACTGTAGCAGTGGCCTCTGACAACTTCCCCATGACTTTTAGTGGATGGAGCTCCAGGACTGGCTGTGGTCCACTCCCTTGAATGACTTGGACAGAGAGCCCTGCCTGATCTGTGTACAGCTTCCCTCCTAACATATTGCAACTCGCTGGCTGGTTGCACTGGACCCATTGGCTTGACCATGGCTCACTTCTGGACTGTAGGGGTATAGACTCCCTGACCCCAGATGTCCTAAGTGGCTGACTAACAGTATCTAAACTCCTGGACTGACATTGGAAACTGGCGTTGACTTACTTTGCTGGAACCCCCTGACTGAAGGAGGTCTCTTTGACTTGACTGAGAACTGCTGCCCTTAGTCTTGGAGAGACAGCCATTTGGTTGATGTGCATGCAGTCTGTTTGCTGCATGTGAGGCTGGCACATGGCAAAGATGTGAAACTAACATACCATGGCAGGGCTGCTAGGTGCAGTTAATAAGTTCTAAAGAGACCAAACAAGAATCCCTGAGATACACCCTAGCTGAATCCATGGGCTGGATGCAAATGTTCTTCGTGCAGTGTTGCAATGAAAGGTGCCAGTACACTCAAGTGCAGCATTGAATTGCGGGAATGTCTTGTAAATGGATCAGGGATTTGCCATGTGAGTGTGATGAGACTAATATGTGTTGCATGTGGGCACTGACCAGGGAGCATGCTCTGAGATGGTATTAGGTGTCCAAGATGGAGGTCCAGAGGAGCCAGCAGTGAGCTAGAGTCACCAGGTAACCAACTGCACTATCTTTCATGTCAGCGACTATGACTAAACAGTTTCTCTCCTGTGGGTGGCAGAATAGAAAAACTGCAGTTAAGTAATAATGTGAGATTAATGCATGCAAATAGGCCCCTTGCCGCTCTCTTTTGAGTGTCTTGTCTCCCTGATTAATGCTTAGGTGGGAAATGGGGCTTTCTATTCTCTGTTGAGAAGTTCCTTACTGGTCATCTCATGTGATTCTTCCAATTTTGCCGCCAACACTCGCGTCATTCAGGGGCTGGACTTATTCCACCCAAAGACTTTATCTGAGGCACAGGTCCATGTGTGATGTGTACTACTTGATTTCCGCTCAAGTGGCTATTTCTCATGTGCAAGGCTGTGCAATAAAATTTGGGAGATGTATCGAATGTTACAGTGGGACTAATCCCATCCTGGTACAATATCCACACGTGCGCTGTGTAGCAGAATCCTTGCAAGGCAATCTGGGGCATGAACCTCAGCTGATTAAATTCTTCTCCCACTTGCTAGGACTCAGGATGCACAAATCAATTGTGGTGTACAACTACTGTTCTAGTTGATTAGTTATTTCAGCACCAGAAGTGGGATCCGATCTAGAATCTAGGTGATAGTCAGTAATCAACAATAGATTGAATTGACATCATTTCCATGGTTTTGAGTGCTATTGTTTGTGACTGTTGTAAAGTGTGGATTTGCTGCAAGGTCTGATGACCTATGTCTCTCTGCCTGCTTGGTCATATTGCTTTTGGATCATTCTTGTTTTCCAAGCTTTGTCAAAAAGTAAATTGAGCTTGAATTCAATCTGCAACTGTGAACGAAGTGTCTTTTGATGAATGTGAAGGACCATAAATCTTGGGTCTCCATTTGAGACTATTTGGTTATATTTGAGACTACCGGAATGAAAGAGCATTCACAAACACCATCAATGAAGCGAGGCTCAAATTTTCACACAAATGTTTTCTGGAATGTGTTGTTCATGTAGGATGTAGTTTATACACTCCATTGGTCTTTTTGTTTTTGAAAAAGATTGACTTTCTTTTCATTGCGCTTCATTATAGGTTATCTGGGCTATGAAATCCTAGCATCCCTGAATAAGTCCAGCCAACAAATAAAACGGATGAATACGTTTTCTTAATCTTCTAAATAATGCTAGTATGATGCACGCCTTAAATAAATTATTCATTTCTATTAACCTTAATGTTGTTCTTCTTTCTATTTCTACAGACTAAAGTCCAGGATGGCGCCTTAAATAAATTATTCATTTCTATTAACCTTAATGTTGTTCTTCTTTCTATTTCTACAGACTAAAGTCCAGGATGGCAAGGTTATTGTATTCACGACTACTGCGGTAAGTTTCTGTGACTGATGGCAAACTTTGAAAGAAGTTTCTAGATTTTCTTACCAGTTTGTTTGTCCGCTGATAAATAGGATTCATTATGTTCTGTGTTTTAAATAGGCCTTGGATTTAAACAGAAGAACCCAAAACATGGTCACTCAGTCACTAGCAAATAAAAATGTCATTCTTCTTCTAGGTGGAGGTAGGTTTAATGTCTCAATTTAAAAGTTGTTTTTTTGTAATTTATGAAGTAAAATGATTTCTATCTTTCATGACTCCAAGGCTGCAGTTATCTGCTGTGACTGACTTGCCATGGACTGTAATGCATAGCCAGGGGACCCAAGTTATACAACAAATGACATGCTGAAAATGTGTTTTCACTTAATGTTGATCATATTAAAAAGTGAGTTTATTCAAATGCCTTCGGATTCAATAAATTTCTAAGGTGCAAGTGTTTTAACTCTATCAAATGTGATAGAATAGGCATTTCACAGCTTGGCTTTGGTCAGCTGAGTTTATTCATCCTCCTGCTGTTTACCTTAAATTACTTTGTCCCCTAACAATGTTCCCTTGAATGTGTGTGTCTGTGTGGCTGCACAAGTCCAGGAATGTTCTGTGCATTCAGGTAAACAGGCAGCCTGAAACAAGGAGTTCAAGTAGGGGTTGGAGTTATGCATCAAACTCCAATCACAAAGCAATGAGTGGCTGGAGACAGAGCGAACAAAGGTGAAACTGTAATTGTTGTAGCAAGCATGGGAGAGAAGGGAAAAGTGATTGGAGGAATACCCAACATAATGACTGGAGGGACAAGAAGTTTGTGAGGGGTGCAGTGGAACTATGTCTGCAAGACAGCCGTGTGCACAGAGGAGTGCACATAGAAGGCCTCAAAGCCTCAAGACAACATATGCTCAGTAATCCAGGTTGATCAGTGAAAGATTATGGGAGAGAGAGAGAGACTGTGTAAATCGCCCCAGTAATGGTTTCGCTTTTTTGTTATTCATATATAGGATGTAGCCAGCGTTTTCTGCCCATGTTTACTTCTCTTTGAGAGAGGTTGGTAAGCTGTCTTCTTGAGCCACTGCAGTTCGTTTCGTGTAGGTAGATTACCACAATGCTATTAGCGTGTGTATTCCAGGATTTTGACCCAATGACAATGTAGGGATGACAATATATTTCCAAGTCAGGGTGGTAAGTGACTTGGAGGGGGACCTTCAGGTGGTGGTGGTCCCATGTATCGTTTGCCTTTGTCCTTCTAGATGATAGTAAGTTTAGAAGGATATGTCTAAGGAGCTTTGGTGAATTTCTGCTGTGGATCTTGTAGATGATACACACTGCTGCTACTGAGCGTCAGTGGTGGAGGGAGTGGTTGCTTGCGGATGTGGTGCCAATCAGGTAGACTGTCTTTTTTTTTTGGTGTCATGTATCTTGGGTGGTGTTGGAGCTGCATCCATTCAGACAAGTAGAGAGTATCCCATCACACTCCTGACTTGTGCCTTGAGTTGTGGACAGGCTTTGGGGAGTTAGGAGGTGTGGTACTCACTCAGGATTCATAGCCTTTGACCTGCTTATATGACTAATCTAGTTCAGTTTTTGGTCAATGGTAATCCATTAGGATGTTGATAGTGGGGGTATTCAGGGATCATAATGCTATTGACTGCCAAGGGACAATGATTAAAAGTGCTCTCTTTTTTTTCCAGATTGTGATTGTCTAGCACTTGTATGGTGTGAATGTTATTTGTCCCTTCTCACCCTAAGCCTGGATTTTTTTTTAAGCCTTGCAGTATTTGGACAGGGACTGTTTCAGTATTTGAGGAGCCACTAATTGAATATTATGAAATCGTTAGTGAAAGTCTCCACTTTTTGACCTTATTATAGAGGAAATGTCTTAAGTGGAGTAGCTGAAGATGTTTGGGCCTAGATCACAATGCAGAGGAACTCCTGCAGACATGTCCCGGAGCTGGGATGACTGACTTCCAACAACTCAAGCATCTCTCTTTATGCCAGATGTTGTGATAAGTTCCAGCAGAGGTTTCCTTCAGTGCCCATTGGATGGATACATGAAGAAGAAGGGTTTAGAGGGATATGGGCCAAATGCTGGCAACTGGGACTTGATTAATTTAGGATATCTGATTGGCATGGACGAGTTGGGCTGAAGGGTCTGTTTCCATGTTATACATGTCTATGACTCCAGTTTTTATAGGACTTCTTGATGCCACGTTTCATCAGATGTGGCATTGAAGTCAAGGGAAGTCCCTCTCACTTTTCTGAATTGGAGTTCAGATCTTTTATCCATGTTTGAACCAATGCAGAACTGAAGTCAGGAGCTGAGTAGCCTTGATTTTGTCCCAAACTGAGCATCAGTGAGCAGGTTATTGCTTCCTGTACAGACAATAAAATTCTCGGGTTTTTAGCCTGTCATTACCAAGAGCATTCAGAGGAAAAATGTTTGCATTGCTTTTCAGAAAAGGCAATACAATCTGTCGTGAATAGCATAGAAATGTTGCCAAACTTTGTATTATCCACCCTTCATTAGTATTTGCATCTACTTCATAAATTCTTACCTCCAATCATGGGTTAAGGCCCTTGCAACAGTGAAAAATGGGAATTATTTGAACTCTGCATTGAGAGTCGGTGGCTCTGCTGAGTACAAGTTTCCCTTGTATGTGGATCCCAGCTCTTGCCCCTTCCAGAAAAAGATTGGATCTGATGGAAGTGGGAGCAGGGCCTCCACATTCCAGATCCTGTCTGCCATTTGTTTTGAAGGTTGGTCAGAGTCTACCTGACCCTGAAAAAGTCGTATTAATTATTGTACTTTTATGTATGTTGTCAAGAGGCAGTAAGAAGTTGCTAAATGCAACTTTCACTCCTTTTCCGTTTGCCTTATAGATGCAATTACTGCTCATGCCAAATTACTGTCTTTTATGCATGTCAAAAATTCATTTCTTATGCTCTCCACCAGAGTGAATTGCTCCTAGTTGTCCCAAGGGAAGTTCTGTGAATGGCTCCCCATGACATAAGAGAAAAGCATTAGGAGAGACAGTAGGTCTATCTTGTAATTGAGAATATCATTGTGGCTGATTTCAGAATAATGGTAATAGTATCTTAGAAGCAACTGTACATTTTCTACTATGGGATCAAACCTCCAAGTAAAAAGAGGATGTTGATTTTAAAAGAAAATGATGTAATTTTTAAAACAATCATACCTTTTTCAGTAAGATATTGCGGTTGTGAGAAAATGGCTGTCTTTTAGCAATACAGAAAGTTTCAACCAACAGTATTGTATTTTTGTTTCTGCCATAAGGTCCAGCTTCATTAGTCTGTGCAGAAACTCTTCGTCAGGAAGGTTACACAGGACGTATCATTCTAGCAACCAAAGAAATGTACTTGCCTTATGATCGTCCAAAACTCAGTAAGGTTAGTAAGATAATAAGTCTTTTTTTTTGTGTGAACCACCTATGAACAATAAGTCAGAATGCTCAATAATATCATTGTTTTTGTGAGTAACTTGGTGTTTTTAATAAACTTAGTTTTGTAACACAGGTTAAACATTATTTAGGCTCTTTGTAATGCAAGATCTGTACATCTGGAATTGTGTTTGAAGAATGACAGACAAAAGAGGTAATTTTTTTTGTTGTGGAACAGTGGTTAAAACAAAATATTTACTTTGCTAAATAAAATGGGAGACAAACAGAGCTTGTGTGCTTTTGGGATGCTGTGACTGTCCTCTCAGAGTTAAAATGCATGTTTTTAAAACATACCCACATGGCCCAAATCTCACCAGACCCCATTTTGATGCCATTACTAGCATGCATACAGTGATAGTCCATTGGAAGTTTGCAGAGAAAGAAAATTTTGGTGTCAGTCCATATGCAGTGTTGATTGTCAGCAACAGTAGTATCATTTTGGAGCTCCACGCTGAGCAGTATCCTGCTTTTAAGTTTAACTGTGCTCAGCTGAACACCAACACCATAGCCCTCCCAATGTGCCCCAACCTCTTACAAGAACTTTGTAAAAGGGCCATCATTCCATATTATTGTAGTTTTGATTTTCTCCTACCTGTTGCCACAATTCTACAAGTGTTTAATGCTTTCCATAGTTATTTCAAAAGTCTGCAGGGAGTGATGGGCAATTGCTGAAGGATTTTATTCCCAGAAGTGGCTGCATTAGTAGCAGTCCCCTTGCAATGCAGCAAGACTTGAAGAATCACAAAACACCATGCAGGACTGAGTAAGTTACTGGAAGAGATTCGGGTTGTGGGAGAAGAAAGGCTGTCCCCTAGAGGGAAGAAAATGTAAAAACTCCTAACATAAGAAATGTATGTACGGCTCACGCTGGAGTTCCATTTTCAAGTATATCAAATGAATTGGTCCAATTTGAATCATTTCTAAATTACTGTTACTGTTTTATTTTCTTCTGGTGTAGGAGAGAGTGGCCTTCTAGGGTGTTCAGGGAATAATTTTCTTGCCTGAACCTCTGTTGGCAACAATATGTAAGATGTTTGTCTTTCCATAAGACTGTCCTCCCTCCCCTGCTGTAGCCACAAAGAAACCACATCAAGGCAAAGATTGCCAAATTGAAAATTAGCTACTGCATCATGATTGGATTCACAAGTGGGTAAACAAATTTAGACGTTAATTCCAAGATTGTAAATGTAGGCTCTAAGCTTATCACAACCTGTATGCCTCTTAACATTGATCTGAGACTTGATGGCCAGATTCCCAATGCATCAAGCTTTTCTTTGTACATACCGATCAGTGTCCTTCTCCCTTTGAAATCCAGTGATGGATTGAGCAGTGTGTTACAATTGTTGTGAAATTTGATCATAAATATTCAGTTTTCATCTTTTGACTTTAATAACTGAGACTTCCATGAATTAAAATGGTTTAATAAATGACAATTTTGAATTAATATGGTTTCTCTAACCACCTGACCAGTTCGGGCAACCCACATGAATATTTAAAAAAAACAGGCTGCCTTGGAATTGCCATTTTAATCAAGAGGCACTGAAATTCAGTGAGGAGTGAAGAAATTTGTATCTTGTTTAACACACACTTGCGTGATGACTGCACATTTCGAGACATCAAAGGCTATGTACAAGTGTCCTGCTAAAAAGAGAAACCAATTGTGTGTGTAGGTGGAATGGGGTGGTACGTAATACAATGCCTCTCTTTCTTTCGCTAAAGAAAATCTTGAAATATGATACCTAAGTGCTAAAATCGGTTTTAAAAAAGAAACAATTGTTGCAGCTGACCTGAGAGGAATTTAATAAAAAAAAGACAAACTGTGACCACTCTTTACCTGATTGGAGGAAATGTCTAAGGTTGTGTTTGTTATTAATGGTATATTGCATTTGAAAATTCATTCATTGGCGTTAATAACTAGAGAGGTATTGAATTTCCTGCAGCATTGGAATTAGGCCTTCAATGCTCAACTCCATGACTGTCAGCTCCCACTTATTTGGCTATTAAAGGTTTTAGTAAACCAAGTCTATGTTTGCTGTTGACCCATTATGGGTGGCAATGATTAGACTATATTCGTCAGAAGGGAAGTTTTGATTGTAATAGAGCAGTTGAGCAGTAGTATTGAAGGTATAGTTCAGAGTTTGGAATGACATGTATACAAGGCTTGGTCTGGTTTAGGTCTTGTGACTTTGATTATTAGTTGTTTTGCTTCTGTCGAAGCTGTTATCAATGTAGCTGTAGCTACATTTTACACTGAAGATATATGGCATCTTTTATAGTTTATTGATTCTGGTTGGAGTCACCCTATCTCCACCCCACCCGATTCTGAACAAAGGCATAGACTTCCTTTTCCTCCTTATCATATTCAATTGGAGGTGCTATCTTGGTTCCTATGGGAACATAACTAGCTTTGTTTGCTGTTATGCTCTTATTTCTGTTGCTGTTTCTGTTTACTTAGTTACATTACATTTTACTTCCTCTCCGTTGTCTAGCTTCTCCTAAGGTACCCACCTTTTCCTACTGTTGTCTCAACTGCAAAGCATAGGGTTTTTTAAATTAATGCAAAGATAAAACAAAACATAACACACTGTTTCCCAGATTGATGCAAAGGTGAAACAAAACGTCTGTAACTAGAGAGCGGGAGAGATATTGCGAGGATTAGAGTAGAAGTATATAAACAGACAAAATTACTAATTATGCATATACCCTAATAAGCAATCAGTGAATAAAGGAGGACTCCGAGGAACTCGAAACAAACTGCATGGAATCTTATGGGTATCTAAGCGATGTGGGCATTGGTGAGTTGTTCGGCAGAACCTGGTGATAATTACAGTGAGACCTGTCTTGATTCAGGAGCAACTCCTGTTATCTTTTATGCTTTTCTGAAATAGAGTGGCGAGGTTTTCACTAGGAAGCGGCAAGATGCTAATTGACAGGGATTAACCTTATTAAAAGTATTATTAAATGCATAACGTGCCTCATAATATTCAGCCTTCCATCTTTCCATAACATGCTCAATGTCTAGAAAACTTGACAAGGAAACCAGCATGGGTACCTGACAAATGCAGCTTGCCAAATGATCCCTGGTGCCTGCGACCAAACCGCAGACCAGGGCATGATCCATGGGCACTAGCCACATGCACCCATGGATATTGACATTTGTCATGTGCCGACCCCTTGTGCCCATCTGAGCTTTTCTCCTATGCACTGGCAATACTCTCTTGACGCACAGCAATAAACATTGAAAGGCTGCAGTGGGGACAGTTTGCATGTGGCACCAAACTCAGACTGGACCAGGCTGCGTCATGGAGCTACTTATTTGCTCGCTTAGTGCTCATTCACTTAGTGCTTATCTGGATGATCACAGCATCTCTGTCTTGCCTTGTCATGTCTGCTAGTCCATGACTGGCACAAAAACAGACAGCCTGTCTTGCTGCTAAGCAGTCCTAAGTCTATCTGGTGCATATCTTGTAGAATGGCAGTGTGCTATGGTGATCTGCATCTGCCAGCAATTTATGTGGCAAACACACTCCATGTGCCATAAGCAGACAGCCACGTATCCAACACTTGGGGGAGGAGACCTCAATGAAGTCCATGGAGGCACCATCAGGTTAGGGGGTTCAAGCACAGTAGGTTAAGTGCAGCCTTCCAAACCAGTCAAGGACATTGGCCACAAACAGGAATCTTTTTATTGGTTAGGTGGTCCATGCCTCTACTGTTTAGGGAGTGGGTTATGGTCAGTCTATTTAGCTTTGTAGCAGCCATTCAAGGGTTAAGGCTAATGTGGTCAGGAACATGTTATAGGCACTAGTCAGGGGTTTGAGTGTATTGTATCTGGGGCTGTCCTGTCACATCAGTCAAGGGGGTGGGCGTGGTCAGTCAATTGGATCTGCCCACAGAAACTAAGGGGGGGATAGGAAGTGGTTGGGGAGCACACAGGTCTGGCCACTGCCATGTGAAATTACTGCATTTGGAGGTGACTACATTGCTTAGCTGGTTCGTCACTGGAACCTACAGGTGCTGGGGGAAAGCCCAGTGAAATTATGAAAGGGGGCAGTAGGATTTGCAAAGAGAAGGGCTGAGAAGGGTGTAATGCGAGGCAGAGTTGTCCATGTCAGGAGCACCCCGGCTTCAAGGGTTTAGCAGTGTATGACCACACCTGGCATGGTCACCTTGTATGCCAGGGGCTGGGTGGAAAAGGCAGGCAAGTGCAGCCAGATATAGATGGACTGAGTGGGGACTTGAAGTGTGAAGCAAGAGGGTTCACGGGATGAGCAACTAGGAAGGGAATGTGGATATTTGAGAGCTCTCTGGTACATTTAGGCTAAGGCTGGGAGTGCCTGGAAGAGGAGTGTTCACTGTCACCTCCAAGTGTGCACAGCGGGAAACAATGGCTGTGACCACATGGCGTGAGCAGAATAATTGACTCAACCTGTAAGGGAGGGGGCTGCAGCAACCACTGACCATCGGGCTTTTACAGGGAAAGATATTAGTCATGGCCCCATGCACTGTTCAGCACACACACCTGCAGGCAGCCTACTCTCCAGGCATTATACAGCATTGACTGTCTCTGTGTTGTTCCTTCCTGGTGCAGCCACTGATGGGGGAGCTCATTAATAGCTACAATATTGTACACAGAGAGAGTGAAACATTTGGGATGATGATCCAGATGTGACAAAAGTGTCAGTGTTACCCAGTGCCATGTATATTGTACTGATGCATGTGCCCAGTGTCCATACCAGGCACTATCATTCTGTGAAATGATGGTGCCTAGTATCCTGTATGGAAGTCCTTTTGAACAAACAGTGAGCTGAAGTTGCCAGGTACCCACTCTGATTTCTGTATCAAGCAATCTGAGTACCTAGTTTGCTCATGGAGAGTGGTGGGATAGGAAGCTGCTTATTAATGAGGTGAGATGTGCAGTTAATAAGGTCATTAACAAGCTATAATAGG